CCAAATTCTATCTAAAACTTCCAATTTTACTATTTTTAAATTTAAAGATAATTTTTGCATTTTCTTAAATTTGTTATTATCAAAAGTAACTTTTAATCCATAACCTTTTATTCCTTCATATTCTTGTATATTTATATTATTATTTTCTAATTCATCTATTTCTTTATTCAGATCATGATTCATCATCCTCTATTTTACTTATATATACTTTTTGATTATAATATTGTTCAATATACGATATTTCACTTAATTTATCTTTTATTTTCAAATATTCTTTTTGTAATATTTTAACTTTTTTTTATCACATTCAGGATTTATATGACCCATTTCCCCACAATTTCAACATTTACATTGACTTTGACTTTTATTATAATTTTTATTTTTCTGTTGATCATATAGGATATTTTTTATTTATAATATCTTCTTCTAGATTTTATATATATATTTTATTAAAATTTCTAAATTTTTTAAACTTTTTTATTTTCATATTTTCTTTTATTAACCATTCTTCCCAGATTACATCCCATTGTATAGGAATTTTCATATTTTTACAACATATTCTAGTTAGTTTTCCTTATTTTTTCAATAATTGTTTTTGCTGACATATATATGTAAATCTTTTAAATAAAAATTTTATTTTTGAACCCAAAGTTCTAGGTATTCCAATATTATCTCTAACATATTTTTCAAATTTTATTTTAAAATATATTTCCCACGAACTTGGTAACTTATTATAGTACATGTCTTGGTATGTTTCTCGATTTTCATTACTATAAAATTGAACATAATAATAATATCTGAATTCACAAATATATTCTTTAATTTTACGCATATCACATATTTTTAAATTTATTAATTTAATTCTGGTATTATCTTTTTCTCTTATTGTTTCTCCTTCAGCATTTCTTATCTAATTTTCTCATAGAAATTCATCTGAAATATATTTTACTAACTTTTCTATACATTGTTTATCTGATTTTATTATTTCTGTCTATACATTTCTTTTGATTAATGTTTTTGTATCATTACTTATTCTTTCCCACCAATTTCTAACATTTCTTTCTAAGGATGCTATTAAGAAATCTATTCTTCTTTCAGTATTTTTCCATGTGTCATCTTTATTATATAAAAAGAATAATATCATTGAATATACTCAAGTTAATAAGACTTTTTTAGTATCCATTTTACAATTTAAATCTAATTTTGTTCCTCCATAGTTAATATGTTTATCATAATTATCCTTTAATTCAAATCCACCTCTATATTTATTTCCTTTAAGTGGTTGTAAAATTGTCTATGTAGTTTATTATATATTTGTGTATAACTTTCATTTGATTCTTGTAATTCCTTTTCAGATGTTTCTATTGGATTAGATTCTCCTTCATTATTCATTAAAAACTTGGTATTAACTTATATCATCTAAATTTAATTGATCAAAATTTTCTATAAGTAAGTCTAATTCCTCATTCATATTGATTTTCTTGATTTTCTTCTATTTTTAATTTTCCTAACATTTTTTCTCTGAATTATTTTTCTAGTATTTTAGGTAATATATTTTTTCTAAATTCATCATCCATACTCCCTATTTCTATCACTATATTTTCTTTTTCAATATGTTTCTTTCCTATTTGGGTCATTTCTTTTTCTATAAATTTTTTATCTATTTTCTTTTCTTTATTTTTATTATTTTCTTTTAATTCTCTAATTTCATTTTTAATATATTTATATCATTTCTTGTTTCTTTCACTTCATTTCTTAAATCTTAAACATCATTTATTAGCATTTTTATCAATGATTTTTAATTTTTCCATATATTCACTTATTGACATATTAATTTTTTCTTATCATCTTTCTAACATATAAGTTAATTTACATCTTTTATCTTCTTTTTCATCTATTATTTTTCCAAATCTTTCTTTAGCTATATCCGTATTTACTAATTCTTCTTTTACTATCTTAAAGTATTTACTTTGTAGCATTAATTTTTCACATTTTAATTTTATTAACTGTTTTTCTTTCATTATTTTCATTCCATCTGGTATTAATATTATATCTTGTGTTTTTTTCTTGTATTTTATTAATATTTGCAAGTAATTATTTAATTTTAAATCTGTATTATCATTTACAAATTACACTCATACTTCTCTTTATAGTATATATAAAATTCTTCATCTTCATATTCCTTAATAATTTTTTCATATATATATATATATAACTTCCTCTTTCTTCTTCTAATTCATAATAATTATCTATTTTTCTTATTTTAATTTTCATGATCTCTCTAGCTAGTTTCTATTAGTTGAATTGGTCAAAGGCTAAATGAAAAAGTAGCCTCTTTATTTAGGCCATTTTCATGTATTTCCCGTCACAGTTGGTGGTAGAGAGAGGGATAAAGTGAGAAAAGATAGAGATAGAAATGAAATAGGGTTTGAGAGTTTAATTGGATTGGGGGATGTGATTATATATATATATATATATATTAAAGTCTCACCGATTAAATATATTTCATATCTGATTTTTGAAGTCTTTATATACATGTTGTAGTGTAATTTTCACTTTAAATAATCGTTTGAATTTATTCAATATCAAAACTCAATAATAAGGAAAATACACAATTGACGGGACAGGAAAAGGAAAACGAATGCAGGGCATAAATCTAAAAGAATGTAACAGAAACCAAGGAAATTTTTTACAATTTTTACAATCTAAGGAACAATTTATATTTATATTTAGCAATCTTTTAGCACGACAGCGTGTTTTCAGTACAAAACCGTGTGCTATTACAATTTTGACTTCACTGTTTAAAAATTCTCTACTTCCAATTATTTGATGAATTTTAGCTTTGAATATAATAATTGTAAGTAATGAATTTAATTATAACATAAACAGGTCCTAAGAACCATCAATTCTTTCCAATACTTCTTTAAATAATTTTTCTTGATTTACTGTGCTTTTGCAGTTAGAATTCATTATTTTTTATAATAAGAAAAGAAAGAAATATTAGGAAAGTTTAACCATACCGTTCACTATCTTTTATTGTTTCTAGATAATCCATTTAAGGGGGAAGGTTAGACATGAATTAAGTCAACAATTACTAATAGAAGTATGAAAACTCGATTTACTCAAATTAGATTATTATAGATCTAGGACATAATGAAAATTTTTAGGTCAATTATCTCATGCGATTTGTCATGTCTATTGTCGAAATATCCTAGAAAAACTCTAAATATGTCGAGACAAGACAAGACATTGTGGCATTTTAGCATCTTCGCAGGTTAATAGAGAAAACATTATATTCACACGATCATGTGCTTCAATAATGGCGCAAAACATGGGTGGAATTAAAAAGGGTTGTGTGACTTGTGTCTACTGTATATTCACAGGATTTAATTATGTTAAACCTTAGCAAAACACATTATTACCTTAATTCAATCTTAATGTTTGCCACCTGTGATTCTTCCCTATATCTTTGTGCTACTTAAGGAAATTTTGCTGATTAGTCCTTTAGGTTTAGATATAAAACAAGTTACTAATTCATTTATTTTTTCTTGAGCCTCACATGCCTGTAAGTTAGGGTATGGGAAGATATGTACATACACTACCCAATTGATAAAATGAGTATGATTCAGAGATTGATAAATCAAAGATTTAGGGATTTTACATTTAGTAGATTAAAGAAAGGTGAAATATTGACTTTTAATAAATTTTGAATGAAAAATAACGTAGCTTTGTCTCCATATCTAATGTGGATACTATATGCATGTTATCAAATTCAATGAAACTACTTTGTGAAATCAGTTCTCCTTTCATACTCAATTTTTTTTATAGCCTGTCTAGAGCTACTTCTTCAATTGCTTTTAAGGAAAAAAGAGCCGTTACCACCAATTGTGGGTCCCACCTAAGAGATGAGAAGTCAAAAATGACGGCCACCGTTGAAAACTAATGGTCAAAAAATCAAAATTTTGGCCACAAAAATCCGTCCCAAACAGCCTGTTAGTTTCATGATATGTTGAAATATTATTTCCATAATAGTTTTATTGTTTTATTGGTATACATTCTTTCTTTTAGAGTCATTGGCAACTCCATAAATGTCCATTTCAAAATTAATAGACTGAAAAATGGCATCAAATTTCTCATATTTCGTTCATTATTTCTGTCTATTAATATTTAGTCTGTAGTTTATAACACGGCGAACATATAAACACTACTGAAATTAGTGCAAAGACCGAATTATTGACAGAAAAAATAAAAATTCAATGCTATTTTGGAAACCCCATATTACTAAATAGTGGAAGTATAACAAATAGTTAAATATGTCACAACCAGAAAACAAATTACAGAAGCAAACAATAGTAGCTATTCCCGAGCTAAGGTGTGATTTTCTCTTCTTGAACGATCAAAGAGGAACCTTGGGAAACTGCATAAAACCTAAACAAACAAAAGACTCCACCATAGTTTTTCGCTTAGAATTTTACTTGAAGCATCCAATTTGATTTAAGGGAACAAATAATCGAACAACAGCGAAAAGACAAATCCAAATATATTGAAATCATGATATAACACGTCCATTTTTTTCCTCTCATAATAATCAAATTGTTCCAGGTAAAAAAAATTAAACATTAATGCAACATATTATCTTAGGCAATCATGCTTCAGTATGAAAAAAAAAAAAAAAATTCTTTATACACCAACTTGAGGTAGTGACGCCATTGAATAATCAATAAAAATCTATGGGATAAAGTTTATTTTACTTTTTCCAAAATTGAAAAATTGACAACTCCTGTAATGCAGAAACCTCCAAATTTTTATTCCTTTAAGCTTATCTTCTTAGCTGCAAAGCCAGCTAACTGTTATGCATGTTATGCATTTCGCTGGCAATCAGCCCACATGGATATTCAATTTCTTTTCTCTAATTTCTCATATAAAAAATAAAAACACGTCGCATTTTTTCCCTATAAATACCCTCAACCAGCTTCAGATATTACAACCCAAAACAGATTCTCATATATACATTGTGTGCGTCCACCCCCCGCACCCCCCTCCCCCCAAAAAAAAATGGCTTCTAAAATTGTTGCTTCAATTGCACTTCTCCTTCTCTTCAATCTTCTCTTCTTCACAATGGTCAGCTCAACGTCCGTTCCGTGCCCTCCACCACCAGGCTCCCCAAGCGGTGGTCACGGCCACGAACCCCACCCACCGTCAAAGGGAAAGTGCCCTAAAGACACTCTAAAGTTAGGAGTGTGTGCCGACTTGCTAAATGGCTTGGTGAACGTAGTTGTGGGAACCCCTCCAAAAACTCCATGCTGCTCCCTTATCCAAGGTCTAGCCGATCTCGAGGCTGCGATTTGCCTTTGCACTGCCATTAAAGCTAAGGTTTTGGGCATTAACCTTAATGTACCGGTGTCCCTCAGCTTGTTGCTTAACTACTGTGGAAAGAATGTCCCATCTGGCTTCCAATGCGCATAAACCAACACATTTTCCTTCCATTTCGAGGATTTTTATGTCTTTCTATATATTTCTATCTGTGTTTTTTCCATATTTCTTGATGAGATTTCTTAAGGGTATTATTTGAGATATTGTTGATGGCAGTCAGTGCTAAGGTGTTGGGAATTCCATTGATTAAAAACAAGGTTCAATAAATTCTGATATTGTATCCTCTTTGTTTTAGGTGTATGTGTTATGCCTAGGTTCAATCAATTTAGATTATAAACACTTTTAATATGTTTAACGCATTTATTTTGGCAAGAACTATTATTTATTTGAATCACTATTCTAATGAATGAAATTAAATAATAGAGTTCGTAAATTTAAGTTTTGATTTGTTAATTACAAGGAATTGTAATGGTGAAATACAAATTGTATGATTGAATCTTAAATCATTCATGGTCGTAGGTAATAACGAAATACGAATATCATTATTACGGATAGATCGTCACATGTGACATTTCTTATTTGTGAAGTAAGTAGCTAATCTCACAAGCTACAGTATGGTAACATTTAAATGAATAAGTGGATATTTTGTTATAGACAAAACATTGGACTTGGAGACCCACTTGGAAGATTCCACATGAATAATTATCTGAGTGTTAGTGGTTAATCTCTAACATTCGATAGTGAAATTAGTCCTTTAACTTGAGATCATCATAGTGCCTTATATAGGACAATAATATTTTGGTGATATTGGACGTTGCTCTACCAAGGGCCGCTAATACGGCATTGTTCGGGCATCTCAAGAATCATATGAAGGTTATGAATGATCAATAGATGTTTTATCACTCTAAGATAGTAAGAAATTATGATTTACATTTCATTCATTTAAGTTGAAAACGAAATCCTTGGTTTATGTATACTCATAAGTCGAAAAGGAGTTTTCAACTTATATACAATCGATAATTGAGATTGACATATATCTATATCTCGTAATTGATTGGATCATATTGACGAAAGGTTTATAGTTTCATGGTAAGTTTGATTTTGTATATCACGTGACATTTTTTTGTCACCTGTATTACCTTAACATATTGCTAAATGTCAATTTGCGAAGACTAATATGAATTGGTAATAAATTAAAAATGGGTATTTTAATTTATCAATTTTAATTATATCAAAATATTAATTCACACCATGATTGTAAATCTAATGGGTCATACACAAAAAGGAGAATTAGAAGAGTGAGATTTACCAATTAATTAATTGACACGTTTTGGACAATTAATTAATTGAGTTCCATGTTAATAGGGCCGATTAATTAATTCATGAATCAAATTTAATTAATTGAATTAATTAAATATTGGATCGGATTAAGTTAATGGGTGTGACAAGTCCATTTGGATTTATATTAATAGGCTACTAGGGTTTGAAAAACTATAGAGAATACAATTCATATTCTTGCAAGCGCAAGAAAAGAAAAATTCTAGTTCTCTCAATCTTATTCATCGTGTGAATTTTCATTTAGGTTGAACAGCAGTGGATTGCAGATCGTAATTGTTCGAGTTTATAAAAAGTAAAGGAGTTTGCAAAATTCAACAAAGGATAATTCTTATCACAATGTCTATCTAAACACAAAGAAAATCCTTGATGAAAATTGAAAATTTTGTTTAATGTTCGCTGTATATGTTAAGTAAATTCTCAACATTAGCAATAAACTTGATTACATCGAGCGATTTCATTATTTTATATAGTTTTATAACTAGCATGGATGACGGAGTTTATGAAAAAAAATTAAAATAAATACGATCAAGATGAAACATTTAACTAACTAATACTAAATTAACAAGGACCTAATGACCTAAAAGAGTAAGTTAAATCTCACGTGACATACTTGTAGTCTTATATCAATCTATGCATCTCGATTATTGTTTTTATTAGGCATCAAGTGGCACATAATTGCCTTGGGAATGGCAAGAGGAAAATCGTCATCCATTGCCTTGTAAACAAATATATATCCTCACCCTAGTAAATATTCCTATAATATTTAAGGGGCCTTCTTCATTTTGAAATCTCATTATTAGAAATAGCACCAACAATGACAAATTTACAAACAATTTTACTATGATAATTTTTATTATTGCTTTTCAAAAAATAAAATTACACCAGAAACTTGTGACGAATTCTACTTCATTCCTTGGTATCTTTTCTAAATAATGATAAAAGCAAAAAATAAAATTACCAAAGGATTTTCGACTTTCTATAAAATCTCATTAGAATAATTTTCAACAATTATAAGTTTGACGATATGCAATCGTTAGTAATCATTTAAAGCGCGATTAGTGTAACATAATATTAACATGCGGTTTGAGGCCATGTTGGAGTTATGGCCAAGGTGACGGTTCACTTGGCAGAGTTCATTTAATTTTTTTAGTTATGCTATTTTGTTATTTTATTAAATTACATCTTAATAACTATTTTCGAAGAAATGAAAGAATTCGGGTGCAATTATTAAAGTTCAATTAGCTTTTGTTTAAACACAGCAGCATAGAGCTTGTTTGGCTTCACTTTGCTTTCGAATATTGGAATAAACATTGAAATAAGTTTTCTCTAAATTTTTCCCAATTATCGGAATTCACATTTTGAATCAACGAATTTTGAATTGTTAATCATCTTTAGATTTTTGCTAATCACTTGGTCTAGTTGATTGAACATCAACTCTGATTTTGTATCCATGTACAATCATCAAACTTTCTTTTATACATAAACATCAGTTTATGTATAGAAAAGCTAAAACTTTGGCTACTTTTAAAATTATGAATGTCCTTCGTGTGTAAGAGAAAATTATCACCGCCTCAAATAGTTTAATGGACTTTGAAGCAGTATAATTGTGCGCAGGGGTGGATTCAGGATTATGGTTCAGTGGAGCCGAGACACAATTATGTAAGAAATTACTTCAAATAAATTGGGGAAAAAAAAAAAAGATGAAAATTTGAATTTAAAAAAGTTGCATTTGAAAATCCATTGGGGGCGACGGCATCCACTCGTCCCTTCATAGGTCCGCCCCTGATCATGCGGAGAAAATGTGACATGAGTCGACCCTTGACCCAAATTCAATCCACAATTAAACCAGTTTCGAATTTTCATTACGTGGGAAACACTTTGGATACTTAAACAAAAAAGCGAAAAACAATCATCACTCTTTCTATAGATAATACAATGGACATTTTATAATTTTCTATAACAGTTGAACTTTTAAAATCAAGCCTGTCATGTATGAGATTGATTTTAATTTTAAATTCAAAGTTCGACTAATTTGAGCCATAACCCCCGTCATCACCTTTTATGAAATGGACGAGTTTAGAACACAAATTAATAAAAAATTGTAAATGAGAAGACAACAAAATTGAAAAGACTCCAGAAGAAATTTAAAAATAAAATCGACTATTCATTGTGAGAATCAAAATACTTCCATTGTGATTGAATTGCTGACTAAAGAAGCCTGTAAGTTTTTAATTGAACGATCATAAAAGTGATTCAACCCAATTATTATTATTAATCACATGAAGTAATAAAATTATTAAACTCATCAACAATTTTTATTTTTTTTTTTGGGTTTTTTTTTTTTGGGTGACTCAAGTTTCCAAATTTCACTTTACCAATCCTGAAGAGTGGCGGCATTCCTCCCTGGTTCGCTATCTCGAGTAAATTCAGATGTGGTCACAGTTTATATATATTTGGGCTGAACATTCGGAATGCGATTTTCCTTCTTGTGGACCTCCTCTTACGACGTTAAACTCATCAATTTTTAATATTATGTGTTATGGAGAAGTAGACAGATTTAAGTAAGGAATCTTGATCTAAGCTAAAGTAGTGATATGAATTGAAGCTTCTTTTTCGTCCCTTTGCACGTGAATATGCATTGCATTCAACAAATTCTTGGAGTCACGGGCTGTACTGTTCTGCAAAGAACATTGCCATAGAGATTCTTCCAAATTCTCATGGCCAATGAATGGATTTCTTGCAAGCAACTTGACATGTATAATCGAACCATATTTAAATTTTTTCCCCTTTTATCATTGTATATTAATATTATCATCAAACAGACTTTGAGCACTTTTCAATTTCTAAAAATAATTAGAGTCAAAATTTCTATATATATTCAATTGACATATAAGCATTTGATGGTTTCTAATAGAACTTGTGGAAAAGGTTGATCATAATTCATCACTGTTGTAAATTGAAGTCTGCCTCACTAAGTTCATATCCCCATTTAATAGTTTAAGCTTTTAAATGATGTGGTTTATCATAGTAATTTTTCGATTTTTTGTTCATTTTGATACATTGAAAGACACTTCATAGGGTATAAAACCTTGATAATGCTGCATGTGTTTTGTTAATATCATGCATCAAGAATTCCAAAAGTTTAAATATCCAAGAGCACGGGCATTTAATGGAAATTTTGATTAATTTCTTAGAAAATTCTAGTAATCATGTTTCTCGTATATAACTGAAATTCGCATATGATCCAGATCAAATAGAAACTTAGGATTATTCCTTCTACATAACAATATATGATATAAAAATGAATAGTGGATACATTTTGGATAAGTAAAATACGAATATTACAAGTTATTCTCACATGTGAACAAGATTTTCTTTTCTTTTCTTTCTTATTTGCTAAAATGGGAACTGGAAGTTACCAAGCACAAGAATGCAATGATCTTAAAGTACAAATTCAGATGTCTGAAAAACCTAAGAGCCAAAAAAAAGTTTGTTTAGGCACATATGAAATCTGATGGGACCTTCTTCGAGCAGACATTAAGAAGCAGGCTAAGGGAGAGAGGAATATTAAGGTTAATGCCCAAAACATTGGCTTTAATGGCAGTGCAAAGGCAGACCGCAGCCTCGAGGTCAGCAAGGCCTCCGATAAGGGTGCAGCATGGAGTTTTTGGTGGTGTCCCAATTGTAACACCAATCAATCCACCAAGAAGATTAGCACATACCCCCAATTTTAGGGCATCCCTAGGGCAAGAGGCCTTTCCGGGACTCGGGCTTGGCTTCGGGTTTGGTTTAGGCTTTGGTTTAGGACCAGGGCAGGTGCCACATGCACTAGTAAGAGTGAAGAAGAGAAGATTTAGGACTAGAAAGAGGGCAATTGATGTTTTACTGTTGGAAGCCATTTCTAAATAACCCTAATTCTTGACAAATTGTAGCTGCTTATTCTTTTAAAGACAAATGGTTCTGGAATGGATGATTTGGTTGTGAGGAATAGATTTTTATAGGGAAGAAGAGGGTTAATTTTTCAAAATTGATGTGAACATAAATAATAAAATACTCATGGGTGCCCCAAGGATATTAGGTGGAAAGAGGTAAACTTTTGGATGCATGCGAATTAGGATATTCAAATTTCCATGTTCTTTGCCTAAATCTGTGGGTGTATCGAACGCATACGTAATAAATTAATAAATATGAAAATTTAACTATTTGATTCGTGATGAGAATCATGGAGTGCAAGCTAACAAGGAGCCATCACATGTTTCGAATTTGTATGTATCAATTGGAAGAGAAGATATTAAACCAATTAGAAAATGGAAGGAATATGAAATATGTGTAGAAACATATATGATGTACAAAAATGCGTATAACTTTCTGGTTGGTTGTCAAATTTTCGGCCTTGAGTACAATATCGAAGCGTTTTCGATTCTGGACAAGTTTGTTAGATGACTATGTCAAATTTTGGGGGTCAAAATCGGTTGTTTAGGGGTCATTTTTGCGTTTTTATGTTTTGAATTAGTTTAAAGGTACTTTTGTTATCTGTAGTATTTTAGTTTTATTCAGATTTGTTTTGTAGTTTTCTAATTTATTTGAATTTACCTTTAGAATTATAGTTTTGTTTTGATCGGGAGCTTATTTTGTGCCTATAAAAGACTCATTTATTGTATAATAAAGACTTTGATTTTTGAGAATTAATCATAATGTGAACATTTTCACTTTTTATCTTGTTCTTAATTGAACGGAACTTATCAAATATTTTCAATATTTATGACGTTCAAACTATCTGAACTTATCAAAGACTCATACTCTTGTGGTGTTCAATAAATTCATAGCAAGGTTCATAGTTTTTGTAATTATAGGATCAAGTTCTTCCATAACTTTGGTTCCTTAATTCAATAAATTTTTTGGTCAAGTCTCAAACTGGGATTTTAGCTTTTTTTTTATCTTGTTCTTAATTGAACGGAACTTATCAAATATTTTCAATATTTATGACGTTCAAACTATCTGAACTTATCAAAGACTCATACTCTTGTGGTGTTCAATAAATTCATAGCAAGGTTCATAGTTTTTGTAATTATAGGATCAAGTTCTTCCATAACTTTGGTTCCTTAATTCAATAAATTTTTTGGTCAAGTCTCAAACTGGGATTTTAGCTTTTTGGGTTGTAATTCAATCTTTTGGGGTTCGAAATTACTACTGCTACCTGGGTTCATATCAGTTAGTATGAGAGTTTTGACTCTAAATTAGGCATTATTATTTTTTTCTCTTTTTATTTTTGAGTAAACAAAAAAAAAAGAAAAAAGAAAAAAAGAAAAGAAAAGAAAAGCAAAAAGAGGTCAAGAAAAATCAAGAAACTTCAAAAAAAAGGTGAAGAAAGTTCAAGAAGAAAAATATATTTAATTTCAATGCCAAGATTCGAGGGCCAATTTCCTTGAAGAGAGGGGGAATGATGAGAATCATGGAGGGTAAGCTCAAAAGATTCATTGCATGTTTTGTATTGATATGGATCAATTAGAAAAGAAGATCCTCAATCAATTAGAAAACGGAAGAAATTTGAAGTATGTGCAAAATCGTATGGGATGTAAAAAAATGTGTATAACTTTCTGCTCAGTTGTCGGATTTTCGACCATGAGTACAGTTCGAAAATGTTTATCGATTCTGCACAAGTTTGTTGGATGACTATGTCCAACTTTCGGGGTCAAAATCAGTTGTTTAGGATTCCATTTTTGCATTTTTTATGTTTAGTTTAATGGTATTTTCGTTATTTGTAGTATTTTAGTTTTATTTAGATTTGTTTTGTAGTTTTCTAATTTATTTGAATTTGTCTTTGGAATTAGAGTTTTGTTTTGATTAGGAGTTTATTTTATGCATATAAAAGGCTCGTTCATTGTCCAATAAAGACATTAATTTTTGAGAATTAATCATAATGTGAAATTTTTTACTTTCTACCTTATTCCTAATTGAACATAATTTATCAAATATTTTCGATATTTGTTACGTTCAAACTATTCGAACTTATCAAAGATTCATACTCTTTGTGGCTTTCAACAAATTCATAGCAAGTTTCATAGTTCTTGAAATTATTCCATAACTTTGGTTCTTTGATTCAATAAATTATAAAAAGAAAAAAGAAAAAAAGAAAAGAAAAGAAAAGCAAAAAGAGGTCAAGAAAAATCAAGAAACTTCAAAAAAAAGGTGAAGAAAGTTCAAGAAGAAAAATATATTTAATTTCAATGCCAAGATTCGAGGGCCAATTTCCTTGAAGAGAGGGGGAATGATGAGAATCATGGAGGGTAAGCTCAAAAGATTCATTGCATGTTTTGTATTGATATGGATCAATTAGAAAAGAAGATCCTCAATCAATTAGAAAACGGAAGAAATTTGAAGTATGTGCAAAATCGTATGGGATGTAAAAAAATGTGTATAACTTTCTGCTCAGTTGTCGGATTTTCGACCATGAGTACAGTTCGAAAATGTTTATCGATTCTGCACAAGTTTGTTGGATGACTATGTCCAACTTTCGGGGTCAAAATCAGTTGTTTAGGATTCCATTTTTGCATTTTTTATGTTTAGTTTAATGGTATTTTCGTTATTTGTAGTATTTTAGTTTTATTTAGATTTGTTTTGTAGTTTTCTAATTTATTTGAATTTGTCTTTGGAATTAGAGTTTTGTTTTGATTAGGAGTTTATTTTATGCATATAAAAGGCTCATTCATTGTCCAATAAAGACATTAATTTTTGAGAATTAATCATAATGTGAAATTTTTTACTTTCTACCTTATTCCTAATTGAACATAATTTATCAAATATTTTCGATATTTGTTACGTTCAAACTATTCGAACTTATCAAAGATTCATACTCTTTGTGGCTTTCAACAAATTCATAGCAAGTTTCATAGTTCTTGAAATTATTCCATAACTTTGGTTCTTTGATTCAATAAATTATTGGGTCAAGCTTCAAATCAAGATTTTACATTTCTTGAATTGTGATTCAATCTTCTATAAATTTCAAATTTACTATTGTTACATGGGTTCACATCAATTCATACAAGTCAAACGTATTTACTTGAAACAACTTTTTTCCCATAGTTCGTCAATGAATTGTTGATTGCCATATTGATAAATGAAATTTCGACCCTATAGTGCTGTGGGCAGGAGGAAATGAAAGTTGAAGGTCATATCAAAACACACACAAAAAATTGAGTACATTTTTAACCTTTGTTCATTGTCGTAACTATATTTCAAACTTTTCATTACATTTTAATCATTAACATTGCAGTAATTTAAACATTGTCCCAACCAAATGATGGAGTTCGTCCAAAAGTTCCGTTAGGATTTGCCCCTTAAATTTTTCAATATTAAACACATAATAAATATAAAGTGCAATGGAATGCCTGCTCATCATTTCATAGAACACCAAATGAAAATATTGCATAAATAATCATACTTGATGTGCTAATTAATAAAAAAAAAAAACGAGAATAAAATTAAAACAAATGAATTTGGGAACATAAGTACTTCAACAAAAAAGATTATTGAAAAAATGATTTTCACATTATTTTTCACCAAGATAATTTGATGTAGCAAATGAATTTGAAATATGTTAGAAGTGTGATCGACCAATTGGTGCTAAAGATTATAAACCTTGAAAGAGAATGAAACAAAAGAAAAACAAATCAAGAACGTTAGAAGGAACAGTTGCTGATGAGATTAATCAATAAAGGCAGATAATGTGGTTAATGTAGAACCATAAATGTCAAAAAAATGAAATTTCAATATATTTTAGGGATAATTACAGTTGAGGCCCCAAACTTTTCAAAAATTTACAGACTTTTCCTTAAAATTTTATTTGGGGCAGTCGTCATCCCAAACCTTTCAAAACGTTGCGGGTGAAACCCCAATTTGTTAATTGACTGAAAAATGGACTTTGACCACATATTAATCAATTATAAAGGAACAAAATGGTAACTTTATATTTTTCACATTAAAAAACATAAATAAAAACAACAAAAAATAAATAAAGAAGAAACAAAATAAAAAGGAAAAAGAAAATATTCTTCTCCCCCACCTTCACCCCCGCCCCAACCCCAAAATCGGAAATCCACCGTCACCAACAACATCCTAACCTCATGGAAGGGACTTCAACAGACCCAAGTTGTGGTAAGTAATTCGACTCGAATAAGGAAAAATTGCAACTTTTCAATTCCCATTTTGACACAACAATGGCAAAAGATGATGTAATTTCACCCATTCTATCACTAATTTCTTCTATTTAATCTGGAATTTTCTGCACTTTTTTTGCTGTGAATTCACAATGGCTATAGCTAGCCAAAACTATTGCCATTTTGCTCAAGGTTTCAGCTGCCATTTTGATGATGTTGATGGGCAGCTAAAGGAATGAAAATGGTGGCAAATTTGGGTGATGGATGAAAGGCAAGGGAATGGTGGTGGTTTTAGTTGATAGTTTTGGGCAATGGCTGAAGGCAAGGGAATGGTGGTGGCCTTTGTCGATGGTTGAAAGCAAGGGATGAGGGGAAAACAAGAAAGAAGATTTTCGGTTTTAGGTTGGGGTTGGGGTAAGGGTGGGCGTTAGGGGTGAAGGTGGGGGAGAAGTAGATTTTCCTTTTTCTTTTTATTTTGATTTTTCCTTTATTCTTTTTTTGTTGTTTTTTATTTAAGTTTTTTTAATACGAAAAATATAAAGTTACCATTTTGTCCCTTTATAATTGATTAATATGTGGTCAAAGTCCATTTTTCCGGTCAACTATCAAAAATATAGATGGAATTCGTCCATTGGGACTTCATCTGTAACGTTTTATAAGATTTGAGGTGACGACTGCCACAAATGAAAGATTAGGAAAAAGTCTGCAACTTTTTGAAATGTTTGGAGCCTCAGCTGCAATTATCCCTATATTTTATTATCTAATAGAATATGATAAAAATATTATTTTCATAGATATTTTCTTT